GTGTGTGTGTGTGTGTGTGTGTGTGTGTGTGTGTGTGTGTGTGTGTGTGTGTGTGTGTGAGCGTCCGTGCATGCGTGTGGCCATTATTGTGTGTTTGTGAGAGTGTGTCCATGAGTTCTGTGAGTTTGTGTGAGCGCAATCCTGTATCGTTGTTGTGATGAGCTCCTGTGTACTGGATAGTTAGGCTTTTTCTACGTAACTATTTACATCCTGCATGAATCATTGCAACGTCAATAGTTCCGGGTACAATCATCAGCTATGCTTTCATGAGCGCACCTTGACGGTCGTCTTTGCCCATCTGGCCTTGGGCAGATTTCATACATACACACACGCATATATATATATATATATATATATATATATATGTGTGTGTGTGTATGTGTGCGTGTATGTGCGTGTGTGTGCGTTTGTGTGTGCTCGCGCGTGTATGAGAAAGAGAGGGCGCGTGTGCGCGTGCGTTACTGTGCGTGCGTTCGTGCTTTAACTGAACGTACGTGCGTGCGTGCGTGCGTGCGTATATAATTCTTCGAAAACGCCCGTTACCCAGTTCGACCGGTTCCGGTATGAGAGGAATCCGCTCGAAGGGCCGGCCGCCGGGGCCTCCTTGATAGGAATCCTCCTCTTCACTGTAGCGACGTATCTCAGCGACGAGCTGCACGTCAGACCTGACGTTATCCAGTATAGACACCGTCATCTGATACGTCATACCGGGCCGCACGATCTTCGGCCCGATCACCACGTAGGAACTGCAATACAATACAATACGATACAATACAATACAATACAATACAATGCGATACGATACACTACAATTCAATACAATGCAATACAATGCAATACAATACAATACAATACAATACAATGCAATACAATACAATGAAATACAATACAATGCAATACAATAAACACGGACACAGTGTCGTTACAGACATATACAGTATCGTTAGACACACATACAGTATCGTTAGACACACATATACAGTATCGTTAGACACACACATGCAGTATCGTTAGACACACACATACAGTATCGTTAGACACACATCCTGTATCGTTAGACACACACAGTATCGTTAGACACACACACATACAGTATCGTTAGACACACATACAGTATCGTTAGACACACACACAGTATCGTTAGACACACACATACAGTATCGTTAGACACACACAATATCGTTAGACACACACACACATACAGTATCGTTAGACACACACACACATACAGTATCGTTAGACACACACATACAGTATCGTTAGACACACACATACAGTATTGTTAGACACACATACAGTATCGTTAGACACACACATACACGGTATAGTTACACACACACACACACACACACACACACACACACACACACACACATACAGTATCGTTAGACACACACATGCAGTATCGTTAGACACACACATACAGTATCGTTAGACACACACATACAGTATCGTTAGACACACACATGCAGTATCGTTAGACACACACATGCAGTATCGTTAGACACACACATACAGTATCGTTAGACACACACATACTGTATCGTTAGACACACACAGTATCGTTAGACACACACATACAGTATCGTTAGACACACACATACAGTATCGTTAGACACACACACACATACAGTATCGCTAGACACACATATACAGTATCGTTAGACACACATACAGTATCGTTAGACACACACACACATACAGTATCGCTAGACATGCACACACATACAGTATCGTTAGACACACACATACAGTATCGTTAGACACACACACCTACAGTATCGTTAGACACACACATACAGTATCGTTAGACACACATACAGTATCGTTAGACACACATACAGTATCGTTAGACACACACACTTACAGTATCGTTAGACACACACATACAGTATCGTTAGACACACATACAGTATCGTTAGACACACATACAGTATCGTTAGACACACACACCTACAGTATCGTTAGACACACACATACAGTATCGTTAGACACACATACAGTATCGTTAGACACACATATAAAATGTGAGTGTAATGTTATGTTCATCTCGTTATAGCGTGTTTTTGCGTTGCTTGCGTCGTCTGAGTGCCGACGTCTCGTTAGTTAGAGTTGACATTGCAGGCGTCTGCGCACCAGAGCGCACTTGGCAGCAGATTTAAACAAGAGAAGCGATTATCTGTGATACAGCTGTCGTCAGTGTCACATTGACAATACACGGAATGACCCTGATTCGTACTATCACAAGGGCACAATATATATATATATTGTATATATTGTATATATATATATATATATATATATTAATGTGTTAAAATTTAACACCATTTTCTATTTTTCGACATATATATGTATAATTATATATATATATATTCTCTATATTATGCACTCCTGATGCCATACGTGTTCATCTCATGATGGCGACAAGATAAGTGGTTCGTTTTTTATCGCTCTTGCTACGATTTTTCTGGTTGCCTGACAAAGAAGCTAAGGTTCCCGACATAGCACTAAAGTCAACAATGCGAGTAAGAGGGCAAATAACCTACGGGGGGTACGAGCTTTCCCCCAAATGTCAAGCTTAGAGTAGGTTCAAATCGTATCATTATAATTTTTATTCGGAAATAAATGGCTGCAATTATAACTATGTCAATTATGCCTTTGTATTTTTTGTATTATTCCTTTTCAATTTAGCTATTTTTCTTGTTTGTTTTATTCATTAGTAATCATTGTAAGGTGCATATTGCGTTGCATTTACATATATTTTTTATTTAAGATTTTTATATTTACATATTTTCACACACACACACGCGCGCGCACGCACGCGCACACGAACGCACGCACGCACGGACCCACCCACACACACACACACACACACACACACACACACACACACACACACACACACACACACACACACACACACACACACAACTACTAATACTAACTAACTAACTACCAACAACTACGAACTAACG